GTGGAATTCACTGGATTTGTTTCATCTCCTTGCTGTGTTTTGTGATTGTGAAGGCCAGTAGTTCTATACAAATAGAAATCCATTTAATTAAATCATGGCTCAGAGTGGAGATTCATCGGGCACTTGGTGCCTAAGACATCGGTTCTTTTTTAACGAATCCTTTGCTTTTGCTTTTGGCTTTTAGATCTTGGCTTTGGAGGTGGAAAATCAAAGTCATTGTATGGTAAAGATGGTCATCTGGGCATTACATTGGTAAAATTTGATGTTGACCAGTCAAGTCTTAAGGAAGTTGTGCGCCTTGCAGAATACTTTGAGAAGGAAGGCCATGGCCATGGCCATAAGGGATGGACCCGTGTTCAAAGCTCGATTCAACTTGTCAAAGCTAGATTTCAATCAAGCTCGAGCCCAATTTATAGGCTCATTTATTAATCGAGCCAAGCTCAACCCTAATAAAGCTCGACTCGTGAGGCTTGCGAGCTGAGTTTAAATAGCTACATACATACATATAATAATAATAATAATATATTATAGAAAATAATATATATAATAAAAATATTATATATAATATTTTTATTTTTATATATAATAATAACTAATTATTATAATTCTTAAAATATTTTTATATATAATTTTTTATTTTTATAAAATATTTTTCTCAAGTCAAGCTCGAGCTTATGAGCTTTTGATTCGAGTTGAGCTTGAACTCAAGGTTCTAGCTCGAACGGAGCTCGATCTTGAGCCTCGTACTACCTTGGCAAGCTGAACCGAATAACTCTCGGCTCAAATCCATCCCCTATGCTAAATACCTACTAAAAAAACTAGAACCTTACATATATTCAGGTGAAACTACCATCATATTAAAAGAGTAAATTAAAAACTAAAAATACATAGACGATAATATTGAAAAAGAATTAAAATGATAAATGAATAAATAGAAAAGAAAAGGAAGCCCTTAAATACCCTATTTATAGCTAACATAAAAGGATTAGATCTTGGATGCCTTGTCATTTGGTGGATGATCCTACAGTATTTAATGTTTTGTCTCTCCTACAACTAGTTAAATGCCGCCATATGATCACATAGATTCATAAAAGAAAACACAACAAATCAAGGCTCCGTTTAGAGGAAAGGAACTCCTCTTACTCTTGCCAACTCATTAAAAGAGAAGCAGCAGCAATGCAAAGTGAGCAACTCGGTAACAATGCAGCAGCTACCATTAGAAGGCTTTTGGATTTTCAAGGTTAGTCTCATATACCCTATAAGCTATGTTTGGTAAAAAATACAAAGAGCCCAAATCGACTATCAATCAGTTATTTTTAGGTTGTTCACTTAGATGGTGTTTGGAAGCGTGGGCATTTATTGGGACCGATTTTCAAGAAAAAATGCCCATACTTGCAAGACCCGTTTTTCACAAAAAAAAACGCTTTAATTTTGTTTGGGAGTGTTTCTGCCACGTAGATAGTGAGCATCACTATGTTGTTTGGTAATATGATTTTCATCACTGTTTTTCATGTATGTGCTGACAGGTAAGCACCACATAGGATACACGTAATTGCCAACCAGTCAACCATTGGGGGAAACGGTTCACCGATGCATGAAACACCAAATTTGACATTTCATGCATCGGTGGTGTCCCAATTTACGAGGCATGCCCGATTTTTCAATAAACGCCTAAACCAAACAATGAAATATATGGGTGTTTGTTGAAACGCCTATGTGGAACCAACGTGGCACCGTTTTTTTTGAAAAAACAACCATGGTTCCAAACATCCCCTTAAGTGCCCATTCAGAAGGGCTTTCATACAACTTCTGGCATTACATGAGCTGTAAATCCCCGAAAGCCATGAAGTTTGGTAAAAAGGCTAGAAAGCTGAAAATAGATCTATATGAGCTAAAAAATCAACTTTATAGTGAAGCTACCCTAAGTAGCTTTTCCAAAAGTAGCTCAACCAACAAAGAAGCCCTCCCAAATGGGCCCTAAGCCCCTTTAATAGCTTATCTAGAGCACTTAAAAACAGTTGAACCAATTTAGTTGAATTCAGCTCAGCCCTCCCAAACTGGCTCTTCATTGCTTAACTCATTAGGGATTTTAGGGTGTTATAATGTTTCGCTTTATTCATGGTAAAAACTATTTAATTTAGCATAGCTTTTTCAAAATTCATTCCAAAGATGCACACTTGTTAAGATTTTTTTTGAAGGGTATGTTTTCCAATATGTCTACATGTATAATTATAGATGCTACTATTTACTAGTTGGGACCCATTCGATACACACACAAGCTTTGTTAAGTAAAATCAAAGCAAAAGGAGCCTTATGACATTCACAATTTTTTTGGTAATATATGACACTCACAATTTTTTTGGTAATATATGACACTCACAATTGGGTCAAGTCAATTTGAGTCCAATAAAATTAATTGATTTTAACATTAACTTTATTTTAAATTAATTAGTTTTCAATATTTTATTAACTAATTTTAAAATGCTATTAATGTAATTATTTTTATATGGATTTTAACTTAAATTAATATTTTTATTACATTTTTACATTTTTAAACGAATCTTAAATGGATTTTAAAAATTAATTTTAAAATTCATTATTATTTATTTATTTACTTATTTTTAGAGTCCTACTAGCTTGTAAAATGAGCAATGATTCATACAACAAGTGATAAACGTCAACCTCTAACTTCATGGGACCCAGTGTCATGGGGAACGCATGCCAATACAAATCATATCAAAGGAATGGTGCTAAATAAATTTGCATTAATTCTTATTAGTTTTATTATTTTAAATATATCTAAAATTTAAAAATAGCTTTAAAATTAATAAATGCACTCGATTTTTAGTAAATAAGTTAAGTTGATTAAGTTAAATTTATTAAGTAAAATTTCAAATTAAGTTTGGCTAAGTTTTTAATTTTAATTAAGTGAATCAAATTAAGTTAATTTAATTAAGGTAAATTTAATTAAGTATTGAATCGCACCTAGATTGGCTATCAAGTTTGTCTTTGCCTCCAGAGATTTTCTCATTTCCTTCTCTAGCCAGAGTCACAAGCAGGAATAGTGTTGCAAATAAGTCAGACCAGATTCAATTCGGATCCAAATTTAATCCAGTAAGAGTCGGATTTGGATACCTCCCTTGATCCTAACAAATCAAATTGAATCAAAAAAGTTGATCCGTTCAGTTAATAAATTGAATTCGAATATATACAGATCTGACCTTTCATTTGAAGAGGCGCTGACATAGGAGATACTCATCCTTCATTTTTAAAACCATAAGAAGGGGTGGGGGAGGATGGAGAGGCACGCTGATGTGGGCATTGTTGTTTTAGTTATATTTCTTAATGCTACTTATTTTCTTAATTATTATTTTTAAATGAAATATAAATTGATTATACCTTTTATAAGGTTTTATTTGCATTCATTAAATGGGTTCTTTTTTTTTATAGAAATTAATTAAATGGGTTCGACTATAATACTAGAAAGACAATATATCAGAAAAACTTATGGCCAATCAACCAATATCATAAAAGAGGTGACCAATCCCATGGTATTCATGGTTCACAGGATGCTTTGATTGGTCAAATCTCTTTCTGGTATCAGAAATTTTTCTAATTAAATTGAAAGCAATGAGAAAGTGGGTTATAATTTTATGGAAGTATATTAAGTTGATTTTAAATTACAAATTTTATGTTTACTAATTAGTATTTATTTTGAAACAAAATTGAAGTGGGTAATAATTATAACTAAATAGAATTTTACATTTCAAATATTAATAATTTTATTGTTTAGTGAAGTAAATTATATTTATTTTTGAAGTTCATAGGCAAAATCAACAATCATGAAGTCTTTCAACAGTAAGGAAATAAGAAAGAGGGTGCAATCGACCAAGTAGCTGGTCGAGATCTCCTACAATTGGCTATGATATATGACGTAAATACCAACGAATCAACAGGATATTTACTATCTGATGCATGTCTCCTTTGAAGCCAAAAGATGTTACTCCCAGTTGTTTTGCAAATAAATGCTAGAGCTTCGCTCTTGCCATAAAGAATCGGCCCAAGTAGTTTCTCATAATGGTGCCAATGCCACAGCCATGAAAGTTGGATGCTCCGAGTTCAGATTGGTGTCCCACTCACAGCATGCATTGGAAATAACTTCTGTAACTGTTATTGAAAAATATTTTCAATACACAGTCGGGATGTGCTGTGAATGTGATGCCCCCCTACTACGTAAATTCGGATGCTCGATCAAGATTAATTTTTAGCATTGACTGCAGTGTATATGGTGCGAACACATAACTTTGATATTTAATAAGATGTGAACCAAAGGTATCATTGGTCCATGTCTTCCTGTATGGTGCGAACGCATGGTATGTCAAATCTTTTACTATGACATATTGCATTTGAATTGTAGAAGATCTTGTTTTTTAATCAAGCAAAGCAAAGGATGTGTAGCATGGGTCCGGATCTGCTCCTCACAGAATGCGCCCCACAGCATATTCTGGCCTTACATCGGGAACATCTCCCCCACTTAATTATATTTATTATTCATTTGGAGATGTGACTGTGAGGTTGGTGTGAGGAGCAGTCCATGCCAGATCCGACAAGCGTGGGGAGATGGAGGGAGATGTTCACACTTTACAATGAATGCACGGCTGGGAGTGGTGTGAGGTTAGTCTGGGGACCACCCAATTTTGTGAGGAGTAAATCGGAACTCAATTACATTTTGAATGTAATTGATTGAAATCTGGATTAGGTTAGGATTAGGATTGCAAATGTCAGTTGGACTCAACATCCAAAGACAAAAGGCACGGTCCCCAGCGGGCAAGGATTTCACCGTCCTGGTCCTGAAGGCTGAAGCCGAGTTCATTTCCGGCTTTTAAAATTTTTATGCCCAGCAGCAGTCTACATTTCAAGATTCAGAAAAAGGTTGAATCATCTTCGGATCATCCATATTTTTCTCGTTTCAAATTTCAACAAAGCAGGGAGCCAGGGACTAGAATGCTGTAACCTTCGAAAGGAGCCCCGTTACTACAAAATTTACATCACCACATCCACAATGTCGTTCTCCCAGTAATGTGAGCTAAAGTGCCTTGTCCTTGTGGAAAATACTTTTTCAACAACCATCTACAGCTACCACTACAACTACAAGTTTTGATCAAAGCCTAGCTAGAAATACAACATCACCTTGAACAATAAGCATAATCAGTCAATTAAACACACAGACTTGGCTACTAATACTATACGCGGTTAGTGAATTACACAAGCCACTGAAAGCAAAAGAGGTTGTTGGATGTTGGGGTCATTGATAATCAGTGTTTACCATCTACTGATTTCTTGCATCGTCAAAGCATGCATGACCTTTTTGTGTTTTGTTTTATCGGTAGTAAGCCTGTTGATACCCCGGAGCCAAACCATTGGCATAGCCACAGCCACCATAAGGAGAGTAATTCACAGGAGCTCCTGGATAAGATCCAGCAAGAGGAGGGGCGGCTTCTACTTCTGGAGGGGGGTAGGCATAGTGATCCCCCCTAACACTAACAGCTGGTGGGCTCCTGCTGCCATAGATGGCAGGTGGTGCAGGCCGGTCATAAGCGTATGGTGGGACACCAGCTCCAGCTGGGTATGGGCCATGGGAGGGAGATCTGACAAATGTGGGAGCTGCTGCTGCTGCTGGAAAAGAAGATACATATGCATTTGCCAGGCGACCAGCTTTTGCAGGAGGCATGGGACCCCCATTGCTAGCTCGTGTTCTCTTGTTGGCAGGGATTACAGCTGGTTTTTTCTTTTCAGCCTTGGCCTTTTCCAGTTGTTCAAGGCGCTTCCGAAGAGGCTCTGGAGGGAACTCCGCTTCCAGTTTGTATTCCTCAATGCACTTGATCACAGCCCGAAGTGCTGACTGCTCCTTGCGTCCAGCTAGGTACTGCAACAGAAATCAATGTGAAAATCTCTTTACCTATTCTGATTCCCTTCCTTGCTGCAACACATATCATTGTGATTGTGAGTATCCCTTCCCTTACCCACACTGGTTGCCTACCCAAGGCAGAATACTGTTCTTAATTTGATTTGGTTTGCCTTTCAAACTAAACACAATGCAGAACTTTTGCCACCCCCACCCCCTCCCCCCCAAAGCCAGCTGCATAAGAGACTAAGGTCCAATATCTGCAAAAAGTCAATTATGTTTACTCTGTCATGACGACATGAACAACTTTACCAGAACCCCAATATTTGGCCTAAAATTCAACTGAACTTAACAGGTACGGGTGCCCAAGTTTGATCTCAATTTTCTAGATCAACATGCACTCATCTCCTACACCCAAATATAAACAAGAATTGGATTTGCCCAGTAAACCCCTTGCCCTCACTCAGTTGTAAAATCCATTAGCCATTTTACATATAGCATAAGCAGTCTCCAATTTAGAAATAGTAGCAATCAGTTCAACAAACTAAGAACTTTGACGTGTTTATGACTGAATTAGCATATGTGGATACATAGGAAATCCTTACTGAACATCAAATAGAATTGAACTGATTTTTTTGCCTACAAATAGCAATAAGTTGTAGTGACAAGTGGAATTTTCCATGGTTCAGAAAATCAAAATAGTTGGTTAAGTTCATCACCGCAAAGCCAAACCTCAGCCTCTCAATTCATGGGGGCAGATGTCACAAGTGGGCAACTTAACGAAATTCACAAGGGATGTGTGGCTCATAGAGGTTGGCTTTACGGTTGAAGCCTAAAACTTAGACTTCACCATAGCATTTGCCTGGTCAGTATTACATGGTGGTGATCATTTGTAGCCTGGCCCACAAATATTTATATATCACATATATACATATTATATATAATATTTTATATTATATAAAGTACAACACAAATTTTATACATTTGTCATATGTCATATAATATAAAATAATAAAATATTTTAATTTAAAGCCATGGGCCTGGAAACCCAACCCAGCTCGGCCCATGATCACCTTAATACTATTATTACATATCAGACCAGCATGACAAAATGCTTCTAATCAAATTGAGACTTGAAAGTGACAAATTATGTGCCAAGGTGAACCTATACTGCCACTTTTTTCAGGTCGTTCACTGCTTATCTGATCAATATTTTCCCTTTAAAGTGCCAGGGCCCAACCATTCTTCTTTTCTCAAGGTGGTTAGGACTTCACTCTTAAGAAATAAGCAAATAAAATGTAGAGCCAATATAAAACACAGTCAGTTCCCAATGGCATGAAACTTAATCACTGCAATCATGTCAAGCCAAAGATTTTTTTTTTTTTTTTTGAAACTTCAAATACTTGGATGATATTCTTTTTCAGATGAATATTTCCTTGTTATTTTAATGTGTTAATTCATTCTTTATTTATTCAACATAATTCAGTATCAAATATTTGGTTGTATTTCTTCCAAATGCATCCTATTACAACTCAAATTCCTTCTTTATTTCATACCTTTCTTCTAAAGGCCTTTAAAACCATAAAACATAAACAAGTACTGCATGGATGGGCCTAGATTTTGTCTTCCATTTGAAAGGCAATAAGGTCTCTCAATCCATGAAGCTATTGAATGATGGCATCAAATGGTTGACATGTCAGTCTGTTTAAGAGATTGTGCATTGCTATAAACAAAATTACCTACCATACATCTTATTTGGGACGAGAAAAATCTTGTTCTCTACCAGTAGGGTAAGGTGGACTTGACAAAAGTGATAAATGCGCTAAATTAGTGACTTACGAGTTATGACAAAGACAGGAACAGAGAGTTGAACCAGTGAACAAGTGATCTTGTGACCTTTCCAGATTTCAGTCAAATGACAGTTTTCACAGTTTGAACGGGCTAGCAACTCAGCAAACCGGTAAATCCATGACCCAGTGAGCACTCTGGTTTTATGTCCAGTCCAAGTCTTAGAAAATTGGTGTTTATGGTTACTCATAAAGCAGTTAGAGAAACTCAAATACCAAATTGTACAAGTGACCTCAGTTAATTGGAAGGAGGGATGGTATGGAAATAATAACACTCCCAATTTAAGTAACTCATGTAATTTTTATAAATGAGGACCATACCTAGAATACTAACAATGCAGCTAAGAACTGGTAATTGTCACCAAAAGTGGATTTTCAATTGCAAGTGAAGAATTTAGCTGCACAACCAACATATTGCACTAGGATGCACAGGTGCTGAATGCACACAGGCATTGAATCCACACAAATGGTTCTTCCCTGAAAATCACTTGCAGCTAAACTGGTGATTGTCCCTAAAACCTGTACAGCCAACAAGAAGTCAAAAACTGGAATTTCAGGGCATTCTGGGGGCACTCAGGGCGACAGACCACTTGAACCGAATTCTATCTTAATGCTCTTATGAACACTGGTGTAGGCTCACATTTTGGAAAATGGAGACCAGTTGGATGGAGTTGCACATAGGAGGCCATTATTTTATTTCACACATATGTTCATATATGTAGATGTTAAAATATATATACCCAGGTTAAAACAAGGATAGCTCATTCTGTAACACATAGAGCAAATTCCTATAAGGCATCTTTATTGATTGCAGTACTCCATTACCATGCACATAGTTTATCTTGAGTGATGAACTTATCTCACAAAAAATACATTCCTATATGATGCCAAACAGCCTTGCAGTTGATCAAATCTCTTATAAATAGAAGAAATATAAAGACTCAAGATAGATAGATAGCTCTTCTCAAAACTCAAGTACAGTGTTGTATCAAACTCAACATGAAGCCTTCAATGGAGTCATGCCAAAGACGAAAAAGCTTTTTGAGCAGCACATACAAAGAAAAGAATCCAAAAGCTTTTTTTTTCAGTTTCAACATTCTACAGCAAATTATGGAACTTATTTCCCTAACCTAAGGACTCCTAAACACTTTCCTATCGTACAAAAAGATGGAAAGATTTCAAAACTAAATAGGAATCCTTAAAAACTTTATAAAATTGTACTTTTTGTCCCATTGCAAGTTTGTCACAAGTTTCTCAAGGAAAAAAAATCCAAAGCTTATACCAACCCAAATGGAAATTAGAAATAATAATAATAATTATTCTAATTCAAAAGCTCGAATAACCCAAAATAGAAAAATCCCATCACAAACTAGTGAGCCGTCTATAAGCTGACCTTAACTAGTGTTGCATAGACCCCCCTAAATGAACGAAGTTCCCTGTAGGAAAGCATTAGAATTTAGACTCTGACATTACATGGATTCTTGGAGGATTCTTATCCCTAACATTTTCCTTTTTCTCCTTGCTTGTTTCACATAAATGAACATCTAACACACATGAATGAATGTCACTTATCCCTCTAGAACGTTACAGGCTGTGTTTTTCTTTCCATGTAAAAAAGGTGGAAAACAAAGTTTTTCACATAAAAATAGCAGAAATATATGACTGAAACTTCTAAGCTTTTTCACCTCTTTCCATTAGCAACAAAAAATAACTAAGAAATAATTTTGAATGCTATCCCCTTTCCGTCCATTGTATTGCCTTTCTATATATAGATTTTTAATTTTTAATTTATTTTCTAATAATTTTTTCATACATGATTGACCAAAATGAGGGAAAATTTGAGCAAATTTTTTAAGCCCAGAAACATTTCAGCCTGAAATATGTGATTTTCATCTTGTTCACTAGTGAAGCCTTAATGCAAAATGTTACTAAAATAAAAGCCATGTGCATGGCAGCTCAGCTTAAGTAGGACAAAGACATACCGTCGCTTTGCCGGGGTTGTTGCGATCCTCCAAAATAGAAGTTGCAGCCTTCTTTGAATCTCTCAAGTAAGCTTTTAACAGTGGAACAGGTGGAAATTTATCAACAAGACCAACCTCATAAGTAAAATGCACTGCATCAACCTGCTGTCCCTTGCTGATTAACTCTTCAATCATATCTGCAAGTAAAACATGGCAAGCATTGACTACTTGATGCAACATCTTCCCTTCTATTCTATTATGGAAAAATTACATCCAATAACTCAAGTACAAGAACAATTGCTTCAAAAAAAGGCACAAATCATACAAATATAGTATTTGGTAATTAATACACCTCATTAATGAGAAACAAAGCATTTAAGGAAAGTATTGACCTTGTATCTACACTTGAAATATGACAAGATGTACCTGATTAAATATATGACAAGATGTATAGTGCAATGCCAGAATATGAATCGGTTATTTTGCATGATTGTATCAGCCTCTGGATAACAAGTCAGCAATATTGCTGGTACAACTAAGGTTCTGCTTACAAAAAGTACCTACCTACAACTAAACCTAATTGTTCATAGCCATATGCTTATTCATCATGCTCAAAACCGAACTCCTAAATGTCAAAGGGAGTTAAATACCCAATTTCCAGGATGATGCTGTTTTTAAGCCCATCTTATACAATCAAATGAAGCAGCTATAGGAAAACTAGAGAGCACTGCCTGTCTTTACTACCAAAGCTGAAATGACCTACTTGGATCATATACTTGCATGATCAACCTAAGGCTATTAATATTTTATCTATTACTGTGCAAGCGTGCAGACCTAAGTGACTCTTTGAGAAGAAAAGAAGCATATGTGTGAGATAGAGATCAGGCCAGGCTGGGCTTATCCCTCGTGTCCGGGCTTCCGGGCCGGGCTCATTCAAATTATAACAAAATCCCATACCCAAGCCCGCCCAAGTTGCACCCCCTAGATGGTGACAGCAAAAGGAACTTCATTTCATATCCAGTTTGTTTTTGGAGTTGAATTGAACTAGAGGATAATATGTTGAACATTAGTTTTTAATATATGGCGTACTCTTGATTTGAGTAGAAGAATAAAGCTAGTTGAATTGTCATTCCATATTTATGTTCCCGAGTAGGAACTCAGTAAAAAATATGGAATGCAAAACCTAAAACTTTGGACTTTGTTGAGAAGGTTATCCTTTGCTTCTGCATGTTTGTTAAGGAGGTCCAAATTCAAATTTCCACTAGATAGACCGTGTTGTTCCCATTAACATGGTTGAATTGGCAGTGTGATGGTTATCTGAATCACAGGTAACAAAGGTTGAAGCTCTATTTAAGTTTCTTTGCCTTGTACTAGATACCAACGTATCTGAAGAGGGATAAGCACCAGTTCAAGGCATTTCTCTCCTTTAAACTCCGATGGTTGCCTTTTATATATCTCTGGCCAATTTGGTCAAACAAGAATAGGCAGGCCTCTATAAAACCCTAAACCCCCCCCCCCCGGCTAAATTATCTGCTTCTGCTTTATACATACAGCCCAGACAGTGATTTTGATAGTTCAATGACTTGGTTAGTTTAATCCTTAATTGGAGAACGAGGAACAACATGAAATTAACACTTTCAAACAAACCCAAAGATGAAGTTGAGGAAAGAAGAAAGCAGTTTCTGGAGTATAAACACAACCAAAGCATTTACGAGACGACAAAAGAAAATTTCCTAAAGGTCTAACAATTCAATTCCTATCTAGAAAAAAAAAAAAAAAGAAAAAAACGAAAGAATGTTGACCAATAACGTACCAGCCATTTTCTCCCCCAGCCCAAGTGAAATCGCAAGCTTAGGCATCTGCTTCCGCCATGCATTAGCAATCACGATCTTCCGGTACAAATCGGCATCCTCCTTGGAGACAATCCCAAAGGTCACCAAGTGCTGTATAAACGTGTGCACATCCGGCGTCTTCACGTTTTCAATCCCTCCACGCTGATCCAAGCTCTCCTTCCAAGTCGCAGCAATCTCCTTTGCCCTTTCCTTCACTTTCGGAGTCACCAAAGGGCGTGAACTCCCAAGAACAGGATCAGCCATGACAGATATGAGCGACTCCAGTATCAATACACAAGCCCAACCCAAATCATTCGTCCGCTCAGTCTTCTCAAACCTCTTGTCGATGGGGAAAACCTCCGAAATCGCCTCCATAACGAACCTCGGTGGATCAATACAACCAGATAAAGCCAATGGGATCTTAACTCGAAGCATGCCTATTTCTTTCTTCTTCGCAGTTACGAACTTCCAAAACCCCGCAGAATCCATCTTAGTACAGAAAGACCTCAGTTTTAACAAGACACCCTCATCACTATCATCAAATTCCTCCTTTCCACCTTTCTGCAAGGCGATCAACGCCGCCTCCTTCCTTTCCTCAACCTTAACAAGCGCTTGCTCCACACTTCCCTCGATCGAAACCTCTCGCTTCTCAAGACCATCCAGGGTCTCCTTGGTCCTGTCATCTAAGGTTTGAAACTTCTCCCTCAAAGCTTCAGACTTCTTCTGGAGATCTTGCTCTAACGAGGAGAAGTGATCTGAGAGCTCCTTCCATAACAGGGTACAGCTCGTCATTAACGTCGCCTGCCTCTGGAAGTCCTCGAAGCTCGTCTGCAGCATCTCGCCCGGTAAGGGGATCGACCCCATTGTTGGTTTCTCCCTTGCAACTCTGCAAGATAGGAAGAGAGTGAATAGAATTTGAAACCCTAGAAAGAGGAAGTATTAAGCTTCTGATGAGTTCTGATAAAGAAGGCTGGAAAAAGGAGCTGTCGTCGTAGTGGTGGGTGATAATAAAGCAAGATGGAGGGAAATGTACGAAATTGATGACGTGGGACCCCGCGGGTACGACACGTGGAGATTGTCTTCAAAAGCGAGTAATATGTTTGAAAAAAGTTGATGGAAGGGCAAACTACTCACGGGCGAAACCGATAAGGAAGTTAACAAGAGGCACATGCGGCCTGCTGTGACTAGAATAAGCAGGGTGTGAAGGGGTGCGTACTGCACTGTGATTGGATGATGACCTTACCTGACTCATCGACTTGGAGCATTTTCGGACCAGAATCCTTTGCTCACTGTTTTCCAAACAAGGTTGATTATCATGAGAGCGACGCTAATAAAATCAAAAAAAGACATACTACTACACGACAAAATTGAATATGCCTCCGTCCTACGAAGTCTAGGCCTGTTCTCACATCCTTACCCACGGAACATAACAGCTAATACGTATATTTCCCTTGGAGAGGTTCTCAATCAATACACAGCGGAGTTCGGTGGGTATAGACGTGGGAACAAGTAGTGGGCACAAGTCTAGGAATCGATAAATCAAAATTAAAATTATCTTCCTCATCCTACATTATCCCAATATACTTTATCGTATCATATCGTATTTTTTGAAAAAGATATGGTCTAAAACATTAATAAAAAATATTTTATAAGCTTTCTAAAAAATTAAACTTTAAAAAAAAAAGTATGTATCAATCGTTTCTAAGTACCGATATAATACGACTGAAACTCGTATCGTATTGATACTTTAAACCTTATTTCTAACCCCTTACCTAACAACATATTATTTCTTTTACTTCGTGTTGTTGATGGTCTTATATGTAACCCAATTGTCTTAACCTACTTTCTCTCATTTTATCATCTGATGAATATATTTTTAGGTTTTAATGGATGATTCCATTTCTATTGTTTCTAGTTATTCTATGCATTCATCTTAATATTTGCATTTCTATCATACTCACTTTCTAGATGTATTTCTTGATTTCCTAACGCTCTGTTTCATACAACATAGTAGGCCTTACAATTATTTTATAGATTTTTTTTTCTTTTAATCTAAGCGGTACTCACTTATCACATAAAAGTCTAAATGCATTCATCCATTTTACTCATCCTATTCTAATTCTTTAGGTGACATCTTTCCCAATCCCTCTCTTAATATGAATTATTGAACAAGATACCAGAAAATGGTCAGATTGAGTTATCACTTGGTCTCCAATCTTAAAAGTATCATGATTTACCCTCCAATTAGTATTAAAAAGTTGAATTAAAATATTATGTTTGAATTTCTACCATGTATGATTGTAGTTGTGTTCTGAATCATGAATAACGACAACCATCATTTTTTCTGTATTTGGTGATATGCACCGCTAATAACCCCTTTCCCCAAAGTTGGTGGTTGCAGGAATCAAATCTACATCTATGCTAGAACGAACAGCTAATAATATTTGTAAATCATTTTTTTTTCGGAATCACCACATTGTCATCAACTTTTCTATGTGGCTCACATGTATAGGTGCAATTATTTTATCATCATTCTACTTTAAATGTAAATATAATATGCTAACAAGTATATATAATAATAAATAATATACTAAAATACAATATACCATGTAAAAATGCATATAATATATTAACAAATATATAATTATATTTTTTACATGTATAAAATATATATTACATTTTATACAACGAGAATATGGGCTTAGAGATGCATAATCACTTGGCAACTTCATCCATTTTTGAACCATGCAGTTGTATTCTTTTTTTTGATAGAAAAATGGAAAATCACCAAAAATGGTGTTTTCTCATATCACACTTTTCCTGATTTCTAAGGCATCATCTAAGAAAACATTCTTCTAAAAACGGCCAACCAAATAGCATGTGTTTTCGCAGAAAACAGATTTCAGACGTGGCGCCGATGTGGTGCCATTTTATGAGGAAACAACATTGATCCCAAACATCTACTATGTTGAGTATGGACAAATCCAGATCTGCTACTTAGAGAGCACTCATCACATCAACATCAAGGTATATTTCAGCTATACATAAGAACATCTCCTATACTTATATGTTGTTATTGGTGGAAAAATATTTTCAATACATGGTCAGATGTGATGTGAGAGCAAATCCCAATTCAGTGTGAATTCATCTAATCCACACCATTCCAGATGAAACCGGATCTGCTCTCACACCTGGCGCCTCACATACACATCTTATCATGCATTGAAAACATCTCCCGTACTTATTAATTATTATTCATGGTAGATGTTCTCAATGCACGGTGGATGTGCATTTGAGGCGCCCATTCGTGAGGAGCAGACCACGTCACATTCCAGATCAACCCCGTGCATCAGTTAGGCGTCAAATGTCAGCTATGATTCTATAAGCATTCACCCATAAGTTATCATTTGCCACGTGGAGAGAATTATCCACAACTAGGAATTTGGAAATTTGGAAATTTGGAAATAGAGATGAGAGAGATGATTTTGATGGACTAGTTTACACGTTAGACTTGGAGTTGGAGGGTTCCCATCCAATTATCCATTTTGTTCCCAAATCAACAAAACTTCCCAATTCTCAATTAATGATTTGATAGAATACTTGTGTTAAATGTTTTTATTTGTTTTGAAAACGCTACCAAGTGTTAAATCATCACTAGCGCTTATCCATCGCCAACTCTATATCTTCTTTAACTAATCGATGATTCGTACCTACAATAATTATTACTTGTTTGAAATAAAAAACAAACAAATCCAAGAAAAATTTTGTCGTTTTTTGAATTAATATAATAATTACTACAACTTCTAAAGTCTGTTGTCGGTGGGAGCACTGTCGAATAGTCATAGAGCTGTCTATGGCTCTGGTCTACCTTATCGTTCAGTTCGGAAGGAGTACAAATATAAATAAATAGAATGAAAAACCTTCTATTTTGTACAAATTTATATGCATTTATATTATATATATTTATGTTTATATTATCTTTATACTGTATTTATAAATCAGGTTGAAAGGAGTATAAATATAAACATAAATAAATAGAGCTTAAAACCTTGTATTTTGTATGTATTTATTTGTATTGTATTAATACTTTTTTTCAAATTGAGTAGGAATACAAATTACAAATGTATAGGGTGCAAATTCTCGTATTTTGTATCTATTTAGTTTGGAAAGAGTATAAATAAAAATATGTACAATATAAATTGACACAAAATAATATAAAATATAAGGTTTTGCACTCTACATATTTATAATTGTACCCTTTTCAAATTAAGTTTATTGCTCAATTTGGAAAGAGTACTAGGGCTGTTCATAAGAATGCCCAACCCGACCAAACCGACCAACCCGGACCGACCCAACCCGAGTCGACCGGGTTTTCATTCGTACTGGTCGGTTTCGGGTTGGGCACATACAAAAACCGATATCTCGAGTCGGTTTCCGTTTTCACATAAGAAAATCGAAACCGACCCGACTCGAACTGAATTAGTCTTTCTTCTACTAGTTTGGTAGTTCCTACTTCCTAGTTTGAGTAGTTTCCTAATTCTTACTAGTCTTCTAGACTTCTACTAGAAATAGAAGGCCCATTAGGCAATTACAATTAGAATTCAATTAATTAGGTGTCATTTTTTTGTTTTTTACCTAGATTAGGCAATTACAATTAGAATTCCTACTAGAACTTGAAGAAGGCCCATTAGGCAATTACAATTAGAATTCCTAGTTTCCTACTAGTCTTCTAATTCCACTTTTGTCTTCTCTTAAAATCTTCTATTCTCTAATTTAACTTGGTTGGTCCGCCCCCCTCAACTCAAGTCCTCAACTAATTCAGAGTTTATTCGGCTTTGTACAGGAGCAAAACCGAAACCGACCCAACCCGACTCAAACCGACTAGGTCGGTTTGGCCTATCAGTGGGTCGGTTTCGGTTCCCACCTCTGGTAACCCGACTAGGTCGGGTCGGTTGGGAAAATCCCATGAAACCAACCCAACCCGACCCGTGAACACTCCTAAAGAGTACAAATGCAAAATAACAAGGTTTTAAAAATCAACCCGAAAATGGAACTGTTCTAGATATCAGTTTTCTAGGTTAGCGGTTCAATCGTCTAGATTGAACGGTTCGGACAATTTGCATTAGGGCAAAATAGCAAATAGTTATATACTTATATATGAGAAAGGAGAACTAGAGAAGAGAGTCAAGAAACTGTTGTTGGTTGAGAAAGAAGAACAGAAGGAAAGAAAGAAAGAAGAAAAGAAAAAAAAGGAAAAGGAAAGAAAGGAAAGGAAGGAAAGAAAGAGGGAATGAGGGAAGAAGAAGGAAGAGGAGGAGAAAGATTCAACGCTCACTGGCGACGAGGACGGCGAGATGGTGGCAACAATAACAACGCAAATGACAGATCCGAGATATGAGAGAAGAGTTCTCGGATCTAAGATCGATTTTTCATTTTTTTTCTCAGATTTCAGATCTGAGATCGATTTTTCTGCAACTTCTTCTCTCTGGATATCAGATCTGAGTTCATATCTCAGACTCAGACTCTCAATTTCTCCCCTCTCTACAATTTCTTAAACCGCAAACCGTTGTCTGGGTCAAACGAATCAACGGTTCGACTGCCTAGGTCAGCGATTTTTTACCCAAGAACGGGTTAGGGGTGAAACAAAACTGGTTGCTTGGATAGTTTTTGGACCGAACAGTCCAGTCGTCCAAGTCAACGATGGTTCAAAAACATTGCAAAATAATACAAAATATAAGGTTTTGCACTTTACATATTTGCATTTGTACTCCTCCCAAACTGAGCCTATAGAACTAAATGACAGATTAATTTTTGTGTCTCAATTAATAATTGCTTTGAACAAATTCATGTTATTTCAAACCAATTAAGGTTTCACTTGGCATTCCTTATTTTAAGGACTTATCTCCTTTTTGCTGTTAAAAATTCAGTATTCATAGGGGCATTTTAACAACAAAAAGGAGATAAATCCATGGTTTTCAAAACTAGACCGAACTGGACAGTTGGACCAAAAAAACTGGGAACCGAATAGGTGACTAGTTCTGTTTTACCCCAGAACCGTTATTTCCCCCAAAACCGTTGATTTGGTCAACAAACTGCTGACCCAGGTGGTCGAACCATTCAATCCGTTCAACGGTTTGGCCTTTTTTATTTTTAAAATTTTTTTATTTGTTTTGCTAGCATGGGCCATCCATTCGGTTCGAACAGTCGAACCGTTCGACTCAGGAACCAGACCCCTGACCGGTTCATTGTCCGAATTGGTTTTAAAAACCTTGAATAAATCCTTAAAATAAGGAATGTCAAATGCAGACTAAGGCCCAAACGGATTATATAGTTAATAATTATTGTTATGTCTTAAGTCTAGAAATGTATATAATACCATTTTGATTAAGGTTGTATTATAAAAAACGAGAAGTTCTATGTTATCGTTACAAGGACATCAGATGTTCCTAAGTTATCCTCTGAGGAATTTAAGATAATAGAAGGTGAGTGTAGCCAAAGAGCATCTAGAGAATTGATACAAGAATAGTGTGAAAGAATGAGCCACAGAATTTGTTGTCATGTGAACATGGAGAATCTCACAACCAGAAAAGCAAGGAAGAAGAGCTTTGCAACTAACTGTTAAAGGTTCCTTAAATCCCCCAGGGAAAACAGGGCCAGTCCACGACAGAGTTCAAATCAGCCCCCCACAAGACTGCACCCCACAACGTCTCACAGTACATCTCTGCCGTGTATTAGAAATATCTCCAAATGATGGCATCACCATTTCTGATACTATCATCAGAAGATGTTTCCAATACACACGGTGGGGATGTGTTGTGTGACGTTGTGGGGCACAGTCTTGTGGGGGGTTGATTTGATCTCACCACAAGGCTTGAATAACCATTCTCGAGTCTCCTTCCATGATGCAGGTTGAGAGATATATTGTGCTAGCTTCACTCCTTCAAAGAAAAGCGTTGGCTTCTGCTTCAACTACCGAGAAAGAGGAGAGTTTTTTTGCCATACTAGCTATAATAGCACCCTTTATTATCTCGTATCACCACCCCAACAGTACTAAGGCTGCATTTGGCATTTCTTATTTTAAGGATTTGTCTCATGCCCCTATAATCATTAAATTTTTAACACAAAAAGGAAATAAATCTTTAAAATAAGAAATGCCAAATGCAACCTAAGAACACCCTCAAAAGCTCCATCTACATTGACTTTGAAGGCATCTGTCCTAGGATTGGTCCAATTAGCATTATTGTGATCATGAGAAACAGTTTAAGATGGAAAACCATGGTGTTCCATGTGATGTTGGGAAAGTGGGTGTGTGATTTCAAAAAATAAACAATGAACGAACAATATGGAGAAAGGAATAAGCAAAACAAGAACCAGAAACATATACATACGATTTTTTAACATGGAAAACTCTTGTGGTCTGTTAATGTGAGATTACAACTTCGGTGGTATAGCCATAGCGTAACAAAAAGATAAACTCTTGTTCTCTGTTACCTAGGATAACCTTAGTTTTCAAGAGGCTAAAACAAATTCACTCAGTGCTCTCTAAACGATCAGGGATACATAAGTAAATAGATAAGCGCAACGGGTAAACCTTTCAAGGCTTCAATCATAAAAGATATTCAGCATGTCAGACAGTAATAAAACACCCCAAGGCCAAATCATGATTTCCAAAACTAGACCGGAAAATTCAGAAACTAACTGGTTCTGTTTCACAGTTGAACTGTCAAACTGTTGATTCAGATAATGATTTTTGGTCATTTATTATTTTTTAAGTTAAAATAGGCCATCCATTCAAACCGAACAGTCAGACCATTCAATCCGGGAACCAATCCCCAGAATGGTTCCCAGTCTGATCCGATTTTAAAAACCTTGGGCCAAACAACTAGCGAGGTCCAAGGAACAAGAAGGCAGAGTTAGTAAGACTGAAAACTGGGGCTAGGCTGAAAAGGTCGTAAATCCTGTGACCCAAGGCAGAGAAGAACCAGGGTTGATTTTACAACACAAGTGGCGAAACCGGAGATTGGTCATTCAAGTTCCTGTAAATTAGTTAATTCCCAAGCGAATATTCGGGCGAGGTGGATCCCTCCAAATGAAAGGTACTTTAGCTCAACCTGGGTCCAGGAAGGCAGTGGCATCATAAAGGACAGAAATGGTGATGCTTTCATGGCTAGATTTTCAAAATTCGCACATCTACATGCTACAATCAAGGCTCCTCTTAGTGATAATTTAAATCTCTGTTTTGAATTCTTTCTAAATAACGTTATCCCTGAAAGTGACAACAAGGTGATGGTGGATATTTTTAATGGTGTTTGACTACAGAAGCCAACCGCCAGGCTGATGCTTTAGCAAGCATGGGAATTGACAGGGGCTACAAGACCCCTTATTCTTCTATTCTGGAGAAGGCCAATAATATGAAATTTTCTAATATTCCATGATTAACACTGGCCTTACAAAAAAACAAGGCAAACGCCCTATAAAGACTAAAAAACTAGAGTACAAAACAGTGGGTTGTGAAGCACTCAACAGTCGATACAAAACCCAATACATAAGATTTCAATACATTGTTTATTGTTCAAGTCCTAAAGCATACAAAAACCCGTCTCCTAATTCCTAAATCAAATTGGAAGCTCAACCCAAATTCATCATAATGATAGTGCTTTCCAAAAAAAAAAGTTGAGGACCCACGTTAAGAGATTATTACTCAGGGTAGGTGCAGCACAATTTACCTCGTTCAATTGTAGGAGCAGCAAACAACCTATTTCACTTACGTTCGTTAACAGGTCTCAAGATAATTTACCTTGGAAGAATAATCTGTTGATATGTAAATGAGAATAACTCATAAGTCGGCAGGAAGCACTGCTGCTGAATATTTAAAAATGCCCAATAGTTGTTTTTTCTTTTTTTTTCTTGGACAGCTGATTGGCCACCATCTATGATTGACCACTTAGGATCATCTGATCTTCAAGCAGCACCACCACATCAGGATGTTCAACAAATTAACTCAACTTAGACAAATGCAACTCGCAGAGTTGCACTAATGCAAATGAGATTTGACTAACCCAAACATGCACATCAAATGGACTTCAATCCTCTAATCTAGCCAGTAAATGTTTTTTTTTTTTTGTAATAATTATCCAGTAAATGGTTTACCTCATAACTTAGCTGCAACGTATTAGCCCAAGGGAAAGAAAATACAATGACAGAAAGTCTACGGTTTACATGACAATACTTAAGTACTACAAAAGTACCCTGCATTGTCGCCAAGAGGCCCAAGATTAAATATTAGAATGGCTTAAATTCCCTTCTGCTCTCTATAACAGCCCTCTTTCTTGTATCGAAGTCAACCTTGTCCAGATCTGACGCAGTTCCTAAATACCCATAAAAGATCCTTTTCTTCTCTCCACTCTTCTCATCCACCTTCACCAGGTTTGGATTGTTCTCATCATCCTTGCCCATCTGTGAGGATTGAACACGGGTCCATCCCTTACGGCCATGGCCTTCCTTCTCAAAGTATTCTGCAAGGCGCACAGCTTCCTTAAGACCTGACTGGTCAGCAGCAAATTTTACCAATGTAATGCCCAGGTGACCATCTTTACCATACAATGACTTTGATTTGCCACCTCCAAAGCCAAGATCTAAAAGCCATAAGAACAAAGCAAAGCAAAGGATTCGTTAAAAAAGAGACGATGTCTCAGGCACCAAGTGCCCCATGAATCTCCACTCCGAGCCATGATTTAATTAGATGAATTTCTATCTGTACAGAACTACCGGCCTTCATAATCATAAAACACAGCAAGGAGATGAAACAAATCCAGGGAATTCCACAGGGTACAGCAAGCAGTGCAGCCAGCCATATCAAGAAAGACTCCCAATAAAGACACAAGTAGCCAAAGCTCATGAACTGTCTCTACTTTCTACATGAGCAAATCCAAAAGGTTAAAATTTAGTTAAGATTTCGCTAAATATCTGACAAATGTCTCACTCACTGTATTCTGCTGTGTAATTCACATGTATTTCCTCTGATCTCGGAACCCTTTAAGAATAAGGGCAAAATAAATGAACAGAGGGTAGAAAGGATATCTCATTACAAGTCTACAGTGCACGCAAGCATCAAACAAGGACATCATTGAACACATATTTGCACTACAATCAGGGAAAGCAAAACCAAGTAAATCAAACAGGGCTAAGAAACTGGACTACCTCTACCAGAATACCACTGAACATCAGGATTCAGAAATGCAATTTCTTTTTCGCTTCTTGGGAAGAGAAGAAAGAGGAGGGGCAAGGGGTGGACAGTGACTACTAAGACTAAAAGGATGTAGAAAAAAGTACATACTTTGCATTTATATACAGCAAATAAAAGACCACCTATTTAATTTTGAGCAGCACAGATAAGAAATACCACATGTCTATTTCCAACTTCCCAGTCTACTACCTTGTGGTGTTTAAATCCCTCGTGTCTATTTTGAAGAGACTTGAACGTGTTATAAGGAACTTAGGAAACCTGGAGAAACATAGAGGGGCAATCTGATCAATTTACCAATGTGGTGCAAAACTAAGGATGTTTCAATGTTGGGACCAAAGGTCAAAAAAGAGCCCATCCCTGGACCCTGCTGAGTAACTTGTTAAGGTGATTTCTGGTGGATCCTAATAACGTTTGCAAGCATCCAACATTCCATTGGATTATTCTTGCTTTCTCCAGTCAACCTTATCAGGTACCCAATTATGGTGTGAAAGGATAAAAGTCTTGGGAAGAATTTTGTTGGAGGAATATACCCATTTTTATGTTGAAACATCTAGCACTTTATACTATTCTAACTTTAGGAAATTGTCATTGCTCATCATATGATATGGTTGTATATCGAAATTTGCATGAAAACATGCCAAATCAAATTGCATGTCACACGGATATTTCCATGCAACCAGGACAGTTGTGAACCACATGAAGAACTTAAAATTTTGTGGGTTGGGGTTAGTAATGTGAGTAGTAGTGGTTGAAATAGTCTTGTTAGTTATTTCCCGAGAATAATGGTTGTTTCCTCATTTTACTTGATCTTGTCTCTTCATTGTGGCTATTTTTAATCAAGATCAACGTTTTCAAGGCACCGAGGCAAGGTTAGGCAACAGGTACGTTCCTTCTTGCCTAGGTGATAGATTTTTTTAGTAGAAAAACATGAAGCCTGCAGTAATTCCCTGGGTTTAAAAGCAACAGCAAACATCTTTTACTAGTAATTTATCTACAATCTTGTAAGAGAGTATAAACTTCATATTAAAAGATAGAAAAACAACATATTCATGAGTAGGAAAAAAGAAAAAATCAGAAAATATTAGGGGATGAGCCACCGTTTTGAACCAAAAAAAAAAAGAAAATAATGGATGGAAGAAGAACAAGTAGATGTTGATTGGATAAAATTTTAAGTTCTTCCTTGTCAAGCAGTGAAGGATTTGAGGTCTTCAAGGATTCAATACAGCATACACCAACATGTGTATAGATTGAACCCTAACAAATAAGAATAAGAAAATAATAAATGAAACTAGTGTATAAAGCCACAAAATGAATAATTTAGTTTAATAATGTCTATTTTATTATTATAATCTCAAAAAATAAATGTAAAAATATTTCGTAGTGCCATGTACAAAATAGCTAGGTGCTTAAGTGTGACAACCTTCCATGGCACTTCGTCGCCTAGATGTTGTCTTGACAATTATGGTCAAGATAGGTATGTTTAAGAAGGCCAAGAAGAAGCATCAGATCCAGTACAATGGCCAGGCATGTAGCTAACTGCACTCTCAAGATGTACCTCACATGTATCACTAGTACAGAGCCAAGGGATTGAGCCAGGTGCTTTAATGGACTAAGTTTTTCCATAAAACCAGCTCACATTCATCAAATAAAACAACTTTTGAAGCAGTGTATGAGAGGCCAAACAAACACTACTCTCTAGTGTGCCAGAAAACAGCAAGGTGGAAGCTCCAGATAAGGAACTCAAATCTCAAGCTGTAATTCCCAAGCAAATATAGGGAAAAAATAGTCAAGGCACAAGAATGTATGGAAAGACTGCAGAAAAAAAAGAATGTATGAAGAAGTTTGCAGATCAACAAGGACTGCTTGGATAAGGCTAAAGATTCTACCTAAGGCTTCAACCCTATTGAAGCAGGATCTCAAGCTCTCTCCACTACTATGGACCATTCAAGATCATTTCTTCAAGATGCTCCCACATCCACCCAGTCTCCCATGTCTTCATAGGATATAACTGACACTATCTCCTGCACACATGGAAGCATCTTGAAGAATGATATAATTGTAAGCTGTGTGGAGATTGCCATGCAACCAGGTTGGTTATAACTTGAGTCATATTGAGACATCTGGAAATAGTAATTCAAGTAGAGGGTTGAGGCTAATAGAAGGTTTGAGCACACATACCAGTAAGTAGTATTAATTCAAGTAAGACTAGTTGGTCTAGGTTAATTGCCTAATCTTTCGGATTACATTGTTAGTGGGTCAATGCCTTGGCAAGTTTCTTATTTTATAGCTTCCAACTGTTATAAGGTGAGATGTAATTGAAGGGTGTAAATGATGATGATAACAATGTTTTCCACATTAAAAACTTACTGGCACCTATTGGAAGATTGGTTAGGCTTCAAGTACATTGACAAATAGCTTTTCATTCATTAGGCTTCAAGTACAAAAGGAGGGAGATAAACTATCTTAACTCCGCCAAGGAAAACTGAAAGCCACCCCAAAAAGAAAGGAAAAATACATTGACAAATTGGCCCAGAATAAAGATTCCCTATTCAGCACTTGTTTAGCTATGACCCATCAGCAAAAGAATCTGTACTTCTCTTTACCCAAATACATTTTACACCAATTTCCTTTGTCAGTCATTTGAACTTCTTTTCATAGCCGTACTTCTGAAGCCCATTCTTGTCTTCCTTTAACCAGCCCACTACCACCTCAAAATCTTCTTCTACGCCAACATACTAATATTCAGCTCTTTAGCTCTTTGTACCCCTTTTAAATAATGGTTATATCTTCACTACATCTCTTCTTTTCTTTGTGGCTATTTTAGTCAAGACAGGAAAGTTTAAGAAGGCTAAGTAGCTTCCAACAGTTGTGAATAACCACAGCATTTCATTAAAGATAAAAACATTTAGAAGTCAATGAGAGAAAGCCCTCTTATCCCTCCCCTCAAGGCAATATCATAATGTGACAACTGTGCCCAAAAGATTTGATCCCCCCCCCCTTGTTTGGCTAGAACATCAGCCATGGAATTTGCAATTCTCTGTTTTTCTTTTCTTGCAAACTAATATCATAATATGTATATTTTATTTTTTCATGCAAGAAGGATTTATTAATAATTAAAAGAAGGAAAGGAGGGGGGCATGAGACCTTACCCTCGAAATAAAACTAAGAACCAAAGCTCGATATAAAGAAAAAGCTAAAAACAAAAGAATAAAAGTAACTTAAGAATAACGGGCGTTGTAGCCTTTGTTTACTCTTAGAGGATCTACGAACATTTCCTGAGTGAGACGTCTCCTAGGTCTTCTTGGGTTTAGAATTCTGTTTCTTGCTTTTGACTATGACCCAATCTTGATTTCAGCCATTTGTCTCCTTGGGCATAGTAGTTTTAGTTACACCCCCCTGTTGGCTTGAAAATCATTTTCATCTTGTTGGGTGGATTGGGTTTTACTTTTTGGAGAGCTGGATTAGAAGGAGCACCAGTATCTACTTCCTTTCTCGCATCCTCCTTGTCATCCTGCTTCTCATCATGCTTTTTCTTCAAGCTACAGGTTTTCTGTGTCACCGATCTTGCTACAAAAGTTACAAACTTACAGTAATCTGGGAGATTTTCATTAATAATCAGTTGCCAAAATCTATCCCGTCCAGTGCCTATCCAAAGCCTTTTAGGGTTCTCCTTCAAAAGGTCAAGTTCTACACAAACCCCTTGCTTCAATTGTTTGGGTAAGATTCAAAGTAGCAAAATGAATATTGAGCACTTGGCCAGCAACTTGTGTTATGGCACGCATTAAGCATTCATTATAAAGATTGACAGGAAGCTTGGGGAATGAAATACAAATTAGCACTATAGAGTAGGGACGCAAACGGATCGGATTCGAATCAAGGTGTATCCAAATCCGATCCAATACTATGAACATCAGATCCAACCCAATCTGAAGATCCGATCGGATCTCACAAACATTGATTTGAATTTGAATCCGACGAGGAAGTCGGATATTCAGATCTAATCCGATCCGGATTAATTTATTAAAAGAATTAATGAATTATTAAAAGAAAAATAAAATATTACAATTTAAATAAAGAAAAACAAAGTACAAGTACCTTTTCGACTATTTGCATCATATATATACATGTTTTATAAAAAAATAATATAACATTATTTACAAAAATGCAATATAAATAACATATATAATCCGAATCCGATCCGTTTTCTGATTGGGTCCAATAATCCGATCCATAGATCCAAAATGGGGATATCTGAATCCAACAAAATCGGATCGGATCAGACCATGATCCAATCCATTTGCACCCCTACTATAGAGGGTTCGATCCCAAGATCGAAAGCTAGAGTCCAATTAAATAGCCGAAAGTGATAACCCTTAATATGAAAGAACTCACTTAACCAGGCTCTTAAAAACTCTTCTTCATTAACAAATCTAATGAGAATTTTGCATGAACCCAAAGTAGTAATAACCAAATTCTTCTTTAGGTGAAAAGTTTAGTAGGAACTCTTTAATCTCAAGGAAGGGTGACCTCCCGTGAACACATTTACCAATAAGGGCAAACTTGAATGGATCCAATGATTTCTGGATCTCTTCTTATGTAAATACGAAAGCAGGTTCACCCCAATGTAGAGTTGGTAGGGCTGTTCACGGGTCGGGTTGGGTCGGTTTACTAGCGTTTTTCCAACCGACCCGACCTGGTCGATCTACCTAGAAATGAAACCGAAACTGACCCAGTACTAAGTAAAACCGACCTGGTCGGTTTGAATCGGTTTGGGTCGGTTTTGTGAATGATTCTCTCAATGTGAACGGTAAAGGATTCAAGTCTAAGAAAGCAAAGGCTGGATGCCGGGAAATTAAAAATGATTTGATGGATTAAAACTGATATTTTATATATCAGAAATATATATTAAAACTGAAATATATATATAGTAAAACTGAAATATATCAGATATATATATATATAAAATCTGAAACATATTAGATATATAATATATATCTAAGTTGGTTCGGCTCAGTTCGGTTTTGGTTTTCACACATGAAAACCGAAACCGACCGGTGCTGAAGAAAAACCAGCCAACTCAGGTTGGACCGGACCAGGTTGGTCGGTTTGGGTCTTGTTATGAACAGTCCTAAGAGTTGGGGCTTTCTCAGCAATCACAATCTTTTCAGGGACAACCAGAATCTAAAGTTTAGTAGATTTGGGCAAGGATGCATAGGTTGGTGGTGACTGTGAATCCCTAGGGGGATCAATGGCGTTCACTAGGGTTCCCATCTACGTGGTCATTGCAGAATCATCTAAACGTTGGTCGAGTTTGGAATTCTCTTCACCCATTGTATCCTCACTTCCATAACCCTTGTAATCCATCTAAACGTTGGTCGAGTTTGAAGCCATGCCACTACCAATCTTGAGTCCCTTCTATAAGAACCTTCCTTATACCCATACTTCCAACCCTTTGAACCCCTTCCAGCCGAACCTGAAAATAAAGCAATTACCTTACCCTTCTCATCCCTAAACACCATGTATTTAAAGGACTGTTAATGATGATAATAACTGTTTTTCACATTTAAAACCTACTGGTACCTATTGGGAGTTGGTTATTCCTTCAAAATAACTGCTTTTTCTTCACTTGATCTCCCAAATTAGGGTGTTTGTCACTTGAAATTTCAGTACTTAGAACATGCTACAAGGAACATCATTGTCACCTTTCTCAAACCAATGTTATCAATGAAGTGAAGCAATGACTAGTTCTTTTGGCCCCTCAAGCAAATAGACACTGACTAATTGACTAGAGGAGAAAATATATGTTGTAAATTTAAGATATTGATGTTATACCATATAATGATACAAATCATCTAACTCAGTCAAATGTTTTGTGTAAATAAAAAAGGTAGGTTGGAAATGTTAGCATATGAATTCCTTGGCCTGTTTCAATAAAACAAATAAAAAGGCAACTTTCGACCAGTAAACCACTGATTGGAGGAATACTTCAAATAACCTAAACTCCACTTTCATCTTTATGCCTTGTTTCTATTTAACAAACCACCAGCCAACCATGTCCTATCACAGAAAGAACCTAAAGTCCACTTTCATCTTTATGCCTTGCTTCTATTTAACAAACCATCAGCCAACTGTGTCCTATCAAAGAAAGGCCATTAACCTATTACCCAATGTTGGTTGCATCTGTTTGGGATCTTGGGAGGGGGGTAGACTGGATAATGGTCCTAACCTCTGGCATTTTTATTGAACAAGGTGGCCATTCTAAGGCTCAAACCCACACTCATGTTTGCCAGCCAGAGATTTTACTATAACAAGTACTGGCCCTTAAATAATAAAAACATATATTATATTATTTTAAATAGTCAGAAATAAACACAAGTGAAAGTTGTGAAATAACATTGCGGTTGACATAATTCAATTGACTAGTCAACTTAAATGGTGCTTAGGCATCCTAGATGATCACATCATGAGTAGCAACTGACTAGTTAGTGATGAAGCCAGTCGGCCCTCAGTTGAGGTGTTCTGATAACACTGTCTCAAACATGTGCATGCTTTGTAACCAAGTTAAGATTCTATTCATCACCCACTGAATACCTATCCTTCTTTCTTTACCCCTGACAAGAAACAAAAACAAAAACATGGGGGAGGGGGGAATAAGACCATGTAAAGATGTGTTATACAGTCAGATTTCTGTCTATTTGGGAAGAAAGGAATACTAGGGTATCCCAGTTAAGAACCAAAAAGTTGATACATTGGTAGATGTAATCACTATAAAGGTTGCAAACAAAGTTTGCACTATGGATGAGTTCACAATTTTCAGTACCAACCTAGTGTGAAAGGTTGCACCATTTAGCTATGTCCCTTGCTAGGAGTGCAACAATCTTCCAGACTTGGCCGGAAGAGTGAACAATTAGGAAAAGGAGTTTTACGTACTAATTTCCTTCTCACTTTTGTGGCACCAAATTACTGATCCTAAAGCACCTAGTTGGACAATTAGCTGCTATCTTAAATGTCATGTCAATTAACTAATCAACAGGGTGCTAACCATCTAGAAGACCCACTATCTGACACTCAAGAACACTTCAATTTAAGATGCAAAAGTAGACAAATAATTTGTTTCACATACTAGAAAAAAGTTTAGTATCAAGTAGGCAACATGCAAGGGGCAAAGATATAATTGAACAATACCCCAAGACAACTGTAATACCAGGGATAAATTATCCTAATATACATGTGAACAGAAAGGTGAAACAGGATTCATGATGCTGACCCCATATAGTTGGAATAAGGCTTGGACGATAATGACGATAATGATGATGATGATATACATGTGGAAATTTAAATGACCACTCCCCACCCATCTTTCAAGGGGACACTGTAATAGCAAGTAGTGACATATAAAACAAAGGATGTAAAAAAACATTATACCTCTAAGTTTATTGTCCATCGATTTGTTTCCCATACCCTCCATGCGACCTTCTTTTCCCTTCCCTGTATTTGTATTGTGAATGATAACCACAGGTGGCCACATAATCAGATCATCCTTATTTGCTGCTGCTTCATCAGCAGATAATGACTGATAAACCTTTGAGTTTTCGGGTGGTTTCTTGTAGTTCCACCCCATCAGAACACACAATGCCTTGTGTAGGCCAAGGTGATCCACACGCAAGTCAGCACTCTGTGAGTTGTACGTGTGCATGATAAGAGCATGCATATCTGGAAAATCTTTAGATATCCTGTAATTTTACACACGAAGAGCATCCAGTAACAAAGAATTCAGCTTTTGCTTTCGAACATCACTACTATAATAATCCAACAGCTAGAATGTACATTATCATGATTCATGCAGATCTGGATATTCTATGGATACCCTGTAATTTTGCAAACCAAATGCATCAAGTAACAGAAAATTTAACTTTCGCACTCCAACACGACTATCATAATCATCCAACAGCTAGAAGCCTAGAATGCAGATATGCAGTATATAAAACTAAATGTTACAATTAAAGGCTAAACCACTCATTTGATTCCACAAGCAATATGTAGGCACACATTAATCACTCAAGACTGCATTCTTATTGTGCTCAGCATGCAAATTGGACTGTTATATCATCCAGAAAATTTGAATCTAGTTCAAGCAACATTACCCAGATGTGGCAAAGACCCAGATAGAATAGATCACAGAAACAAAATCTACACTAAAAAATTGAAGTATTCAACATGATGCAACAGTTATTTATAGATATCCAGGTATCATAGATCTTAGGTGATAGCACGAAGCTCATGATAAAGACACATTAACGGAGTGTTGCCAATCAAAATAAAGGACATATTATGGATATGCGGTCCAAAAGAACCTTTGCGTGCCAACCCCATAAATCTGCGAAAACCTAAAAGGAAAGGGAAGCCTACAAGGTTATCTAACAAAAAACATCAAATTGTAGTTAATAGATAACAAACAGATATATCCATATAATTTGTTGACAAGTACCTGTGCTGGTCTAAGACAACAAACTCACAACTACCTTAACAAATATAAAAATAGCAACTGACTATAGAAACCACTTAGATCCATAGAATCTTAATCAAAATTCGATTATTACAATAAAATTACCATTCCTGCAGTATATACAGCACTAGCAGAACTTTTGTTTAAACCAAAAACACCATAGGTAAGCACTAAAAGCTAGTATAAGTATACCTCAAAGACATTATTTTCAAAGATAAAGAAGACTGTCACTGTATAATTTGGTACCTGCTTTTTCATCACCAACATGGAAATGTATTGATGTGAAAAATAATAAAGCTTCTCAACATCGAAAAGGACAGAGGGAAGGCAGTATAGATTACAGACAGCTCAGCTGCCAAAAGCATTCAATATTTTCAAATACAACTATGTTGAATATACATCAATCCCCAGCCCCGGTGTTTCCAAAAGAAGTTGGTTCCTGGTTACTCCTTTTCTTGCAAGAATATTGACTAAGGTATTAGCTGAGTTGGGCTGGGAAAATGAAAAACAAGCAAGAAAAATCAATCAATTTCACTATAAACTCAAGAGCTAATCCACACATTCAATAAAGGATATTAAATCAGAAAACTTATAATACAATATGTCACATTAATGCTTTAAATGTAAGTCAACTGCTCTGCTCCCTTTATCTACTGCTTCTGAACACTCAAATCTGGATTTGCTAGGCACCAGGAAGTAGAGATCAAACTGTTATCTTTTAGGTTACACAAACTTTACTATTTATGCCCTCTACATATCAAATATATAGAGAACTAGATGTTCTAAGGGAGGTGTAAGATCCAATTGGGGCTTACACTCCTTAATGATTAGGTTTTCCCTAAGAGATACCTTATCACAGAGAAGACCATATTACCAACAAATATCAAAAGCAAAAGCGATTATCACAGGACTGGAGTATCAGGTTAACCAGCATAAGAAGCCAGATTCAAGTATGAGAGTGGTCACTTTGTGGCGAGGAAAAAAAATGCCAAAGTTTAGGACTGAATCCACTTTAACCCTCCCAGATTGCTAGGACCAACAGTGGGTACTGGCCTTTTATTGCCTTGCCATGGCATCAAGTAGTTAGATGATAGTAACTAAGATTTTCATACAGGAGCCCACTTTTAACTTTATCACTGTTTTTCATCACGGACATGCTATGGCTCTACAGTCAGAGCTTCAGTAGCAAGTGGACCAAGACAATTAAAACATACAAAGAAATGCATAAGCTGATATAAGTAATTGTATATGCATATATGTGCATATTAACTGCTACCCAGCCTTACTACGAATGAACGCCATAGAGTCAACATGCATCCACTCTTAGCCATCCAATAAATGTTAGAAACAGTATTTATAAAATATAAGTTTGGAGATGCTGATATTTTACAATATGAAAGATGTTTCTAATCTGCATCTGTTCAATAACTTTTTTTTTATGAATTTCAATAACTATTAATATAATGCCTGCGTCCTAAAGTATATATTCTGTAACATCCGATATTTAAACAGCAAATGCCAAGTTTACAGGATATGAAAATCACAGCAGCCTGGCCAAAAACGTTTTACACAAATATCTGAAACCAGCAGGTGGACTTGCCTAACTGTTCCTGATACCACAAAAAACACAATCTTCAATACTACCCACAGTTGCCAATCGAAAAAAAATAAAAAAAAAAATACTATCAGTGTCCATACAATGGGTAGAGATAATTACCAATGCACCTAAAATCACCCCCCAGTAGGCCAAGCCATCAAAGGAATTGACCCTTAAAATTAGTATAACTATGAAGAACAATCATCCATGTGTCATCATCCCAACTTCACTTGGGGATTAGATTAATAAAGAAATTGCCACACAATGATAATATGTTGCACAAACAGCAACATTTCCCATACATAAAGCAAAAGGTATGAAAGATAAGTACTTCTTTTAATTGGCAACAGAGAGAGAGAGAGAGAGATGAGTATGTCATCCTCACACAAGCAAATAAAAGTGGATACAAAGACTAATTGGATCACTTTACCCATTCTTGACACTTTTTTTGTAGCCACAATCATTCTTAGTGCACTAAGGTTTTTGCACCCACTAGGCGGGGTACACAACTACATTTGGTCAAGAGCCATCAAGTAGTAACCAAAAATGTCCCTTCTCTAGTCAATGCAATACCAGAATGTCATGCGCAAACACGTTCAATAGACTATTTGCATTTGCAAAGGTTGCCTTTCTTCTTAAAGAAGCACAAGCATAACATAGATTCTACAAAAAATAAACTAATTCAGATGTTAGCCACAAAAATAAATCGCTTGAGAAAGGTTCGTCACAATTAAAATCTGAAACAAGGAAACTCAAATGAGAGCAGAGAAGATTAAGAAGAGGTACAATTCCCAAAGACGGTCATAAACGGACCACAGAACTTCATATAAAGTTGTAATAATTTCTAGCATTGAGGCAACCCAATGCAAGTTAAGAAGACAATTGATGTCCCAACAACATGTATAAACTTCAGGACTGTCGATTGATTGTTTACTTAGATGGAAGACAATTGATGAACCGAATGATGTATTGATTTATCTATTAGTGAAAAAGTTACTAAAGAGGTTGTGAACTCATTAATAGCTGAAGCTGTAATTGGGCTGAAGTTATCCACTAAAAGACAAAACACTGTCACTCAATTCAACCACTTCAAGATCCCACACCTGAGTCCCCACTAATGTATCTATTGTAATACCAAAAAATTCCACCATTTCAACCATTATCAAATGGTCCCTTAGTTCTTCTAGAAGAATCAAATACAGATACAAGAGAAAGAGTACTTCATCCTCAAACTAAAATACTAGTAAACAACCAACAAAACCAATATTCAACAAAAGAAACAAAAGCAACTCACTGCACCATCACATGTAGAAATTAAAACCACCTAACTAAAACAATTAACAAAGTAGATATGAATGCTTTTGTTAAACACTTAATTGTAAATTAAGAGACTCGGAACTTGCAGTTAAGAAATATATTATAGAAAACATTTCTACTTATCAACAGAGTCCTAATGCAAAGTATTTCATACAACACCAAATAGCCCATGAGCAACAGGGGCTTGGGCAACTGTGAAGACACACCTGAGTCCCCCCAAGGTGTATTAAAAGGTTTAGCTCATCATGCAACATGCAATTTTGGCATTAGCTCATCAAACAAAATTTTCTATTGTGTCACCTATCAAAAAGAAAATGCCATATTGTACAGTACACCAATTAGAAAAACAAGGTTCTCAAACCTCCCCAAATTTTATTCCAGTATGAAAATTACATGGCCTATGGTAGATTTAAAGCAAAAAAATTAGCATTCAGAATCCTGTTTATGTGTAAACAGGAAGAAGAATGGAGCCTACTGTAAATGGTATTCCAACAAGCCAAAAAAATATGGCTGCTAACCAGTAGAGAAATAATTATAATGAAAACTTCGGGGAAGAATTACTTGTACTCCTATCCATCAATTACCTAAATTAAGTGAAGATGTGAGTCACCAAACATAACTAAAAGTTAACTTTCCTAATTACCTTGACAATCTAGCTGAAGCAAGAAACCTAAAAACAAGGGGACGTAAAACCACAAACTATTAAAGTCTAGCAAGCTGCTGTTCCAGTTCTAATAAAGAGTGTCTACCAGAGACTCCCCACTTAATGAACAAGAACTCCTTAAAATAGTAACAAGAACTTAAGAGTACAGAAACAAAAAGGTTTCAAGAAAAACAGGGCAGGCAATGCAACAGCATAAAAGTTAAGCTTACTGCTCATTTTCCCTTCTACCTCTAGAAGACGGATTCTAACCTCAGCTGATCACCAAGGATGGCATGCATCACTAACATAAATCATTTTCAACCTTTGTCCATAAAATGCACCCAAGGAAATCAGCAAACTAAAGATCATAATTAAATGTGATGCCTTCGGGAACACAATCAGTTATGACCACACTATGATAAACCAATATGTGTCATGCAAGAAATGAAGTATGCTACCATAAACGTCTTAATACATCTAAGATACTTCTTTCACCAACTTAGCATGGAAGATTTAAAATACAAGTACAATATTGACATTCTCTGAACAGGCCCCATGTAATGCACTTGACCATTCATTATGCAGCTAAATATGCCAGCCAATGTTGAGAAAAACATTTCAAAGTCAGTGCCTTTTCATGACAAAAATGACAGTCTAACACTATAACATG